GCAGACTGTACTGTAAAGGTGAGAGGCCTAGAAGTAAGAATTTGCCTTTTTCTTCAAATGCGAATCTCTCGGCGAAAAATCATCGTATCGAGATGCATAAAAAAGCATTTTAAAGAGGAGACTCTGTACTTTCGTACGCTTTTGATCCCAATAAGCTACAATTTTTTGTTTATACCGTGCACCGTCGCAAACTCGAACCATTATTTTTCAATTTTGCATGCTCGCGCTTTGTCATCCGCCATTTTCAATAAATTTATTTTGCAACATTGAAATAAATTGATTCTTAAAGTAGAGATTTTTAGCTTCATTTCCATATTTTATAGAACTTTCTATCTTTATTATTTACGAAGTTATCGTCAGTTGAAATTTGATGAATTTTTCCCACATTTTCAGTGTACCGCTTTTTTTCGGGTGAGTGTATAATGCTTACGTGAAACGGAAAATACGTCGATACGTGTGAGCAAGACCCCTCTCACTAGTCGTCCGTGAGTGGCGGCGCGTGTCAACCTTGCCGTGTCCTTGAAACCACGCGACCGCGACTGTACGTTGAGCCAAGCCGGAGCGAGCTAGCAAACGTGCGGTCGCAAAGTTCTGAGAATCAGCTGATCAGTGATTAGGGGATTCCTAGAGAGGTTCGCTCCGGAATTCTCATCTCTTGTGAGCCGGATGGAATTAGGTTTCGCATTGTGAGTAAAAATGCAGGTACATGTAGTTGTAGCTCTGTCGAGGAATAACATACAACTGCATATATTCGTTGTATACCGTTAAAATCGGAAATTTCCATGATATATATGTTTTGCGCTATATCTATTGTATTAGGAGCAAATGAACTAAGCGTTCGGACTTTATCTGTTTGTCGAGTTCAACGAAACTAATATCAACAAAGGTGCAAGTGGTGTTCGGCTTAATTACATTTTACTTACGTTATATCCATTCATGTTGGCACACCAAGAGCACTTTAAATTAAAGTTTATATAAAAAAAAAACCAACACACAAAAGGTAGAAATCTACAAAGAACTCGATGACGTGAGTTTTTTATTTTCTGACGCGTACACGGTAATTAACCTTTCCGACTATATGAGCAAATTATCGCTGTAATGATTCCGCACCACGTTGAGGCCTCGTATCACGTTGACACGATCGTTTGTCGTGAAGTATCAACGTACACAGTCGGCGCGCGTGACATTCGTTAAATGCAGACGAGCGAGCGCTCGGGAATTTCCTAATGCGGAGATAACGCTCGATGCATATTTTCCCGCTGGCAAACAAGAAATCCCCCCGAGAAACAACTTGGACTGTGCAGTTTCGCGATTTCCGTCGTTCCTTTCGTCACGAGATTAATAAGCGCATTATAATAATTTTTTCGTCGAAAAGAACCGTTGCGTGAGTCTGTGCAGCGGAGGAATGCGGCGCAATCCCAAATACCTAATGCGTAATATATGGAATTACTTGCGGGTAAGGCAGACTGATATAATTAAATTGTTCTCGGGGGCTACAATTGTCATCCTAATGGCCATTAAGTCTAGCTGTCCGGAGGCGTAGAAAAAAATAGGAACGCAATTATAGGATGGTGAAATTTTTGCTCGTCGAGGCGCTCATCAACGCGAAAATCGCGTGCGCCGCCGTGGGGGTCGCATTCTTTTCATTAGAGAGTACGGCGCAGAGAACTCATGCGATATCTCGCGAGTCTGTTTGTCAGAGCATTTACGTAACTAGATAACAATGGATGGTCAGATAAATATGACTGTAATGCGTATATTAGATGAAATATAATTTACAGGGTTTGAATTCGTTGATTGATTGAGATCGAAACATGAAACGAAATCTATCGGTACAGAGTATTTCAATTATCGATGGCAATTAATGATTGATACGAATAATTACAAATCATTGAGTTTTTTTTATTAATATGTACGTTTAATGTTGAATTCGATATAAAATTTTCAGCAGTCCGTTATTGCTTTCTTTCAACAACTTGCATTGTATTAATAACGAATGCAATGATGCGAGCTATTACAGAGTTAAGTCGGAACGGTAAAAAGGCATCTTCTCGCGCGCCTACGAGCGGCGAATTACGCCGAGAATACCATGAAAGAAAGGAGGGTACTATGCAATTTGTCATTCGGTGTGTTTTGCGTGTGGCATTGTGGCCCTTCGCTCTGCGTCTTGCAAATTGCTGTACCGGGAATGTTATTGCCCGCAGAGGAGGACATTATGGTAATTTAGGCTTTCGCGGTTTTCGCGAAGATCACTCGGCAATGCTGCGTACATTTTTTGACGTTCGAAAATTTCTAGTTTTTGTTTCTGCCAAAATATATAGTTAGGTAGTCCTTCTTTCATTTGTCTTTTTTTTTGTTTACTACAAATTGAATGCATTAGTTACCAATTCAAAAACAGAAATGATTCAAAAAGTACGTATTCTAAATAATGCTTTTTTACGTAAAATATTGTAAATAAATGATTAGATAACAATTAGACATGTTTGCAGATAAACTTTTAGTGCGACTCGAAGTAAAACAAATTTACGAACGAATAAAATGCGCGTTGGACACAATATTTAAACATATATACCGTATCTATCTGTTATCTAATTTTAAGCTGTTCAGCAAAGAATGATTGTGCGTTAGAAAATTATGAACACCTGGCCGCGCGAGAGAAAGCGAACACGATAATCAATGTACACGATGTGCTTAGGGTCCAGTTTAGAGATTAAATTCGATAGCGCCCGATAATTCACAATCTGATTTCGTTTGCTAGGATAGCAATTTAATTCTATATGATTGATCGTCTCATAAATCATTTATGAATTGACAATTCTCGCGTAATGTGTCTCGCATAATGAGATGAATTAACAATCAGTTCGAGGTTTCTTTCATAATAAAAGTTATATATAAAGAAAATCTGTATTGAAGAGAAATAAAAAGCTGTCGTTTATTCACACGATGTGCAATATTATAGCAAATAAATTGTTCGTTATTGTCGGTCTTTATTATCAGACGAGAAAAAGATGCGGGTCCTTTAGGGTCCTGTAAGGGTCCTACAATGTTCTGGCAAAATCCACCAGAAGGCAGCAAGTTCTGGCCTTCGGTACTTTAGGCAAAGACGAAGGAAGGGAGAAATTTTAAGCCTGGACAGGCGAGATGGTCATCGCAGGGATTGGTTCGTACTTGATTGTAAGGTGGCGGCACCACGGCGGAGTAATCTTGCTGTCGACGATCAGCAGTCTCGTCTGAGACGTGCAGCGAGATGCTCGTATGAGGACGGAGCGCTAATGCCTTTAGAGCGAAAATATTTCGTTTCATAAAGTTCTTTGCCTACTTTTTCTACAAAAGAATTCTAATTAATGTCTTTATGCATCAATTTTATTTGAAAGGCATTTATTATTGGAAATAAATATAATTGCGCTCTAGAATATTATATATTTCATTAGATCAAATGCAATGAAAGAGCAAATATGTGTATAAGATGTACGATTATAATGGAGAAAATGGATCGAGGGATTGGTTAATTGATGAACGACACAGAATTTATGTTTTGAGAAAGAGATTAACATTTATTTAATGTTCTTGCAGTAATAAGCGTCGGTTGTCTATTCTCGTAAAAGAGAGGAATTATAAATGTCACCTCTTTACACTCGTATAAATATAAATAACGTACTCTTTTGCAATTAAATCTCACATATATGTGCCGGTGATTATGAAAGTGGGCTAAAAAATTTTTTTCAATTAATTTTATCGCTTATTTCGTGTTATATCGATCTATAAAGTCGAAATATCTCGAAATAAAAAATCATCAAAATTTTTGACTTAGTTCACTTTTATAATTACCGGCACATATACATTCTCGCACACTCTCACATTCATCTGACTCCTTAATTTAATGCTAAACCTAAAGTCGTATCAACTAAAAACATTCTTCGTACTTACAACGATATACTACAAATCGGCTAGCGGTTTACGTACAAGAAACAGAATGGAAGACCTCGGTGATTCTTGTTGCGTAAGGCACTTAAAATACAATATTCGTATAACTTATGTACAGAGAGGATCAGTGAAAAAAAGGACGGGACGACAGGATGAGAGAAAAAGGGCTGATGGGGATCGCGAAGAAAACCATGTGCGCTCGTTTCCGATACGCTAAAGTTTAACGACATATTTACAAGGCACTATTAATAAGGCACTGCCTCATTGGCTACTGGCCGACTGTGCACGCGCACTCGGAAATAAACTCGCGTCTTCTAACGATCCTTCCAACTTAGCGGTGTCCTCCTCTGTGGAACCGCGCGTATCTACAACAATCTACATAATTGAGGAACATGTTTCCGTTCCGCGGGATTTTTTTTTATACGGCGCGTAAATCGGCACATCGAATCAACGCGTTCCTAACCGCGGATTATTATCGACATATGTCAATTCGTATCACTTTCATCGTCCACGTGTCACTTCGTATCAGTTCTTAATTTAAGGAAAGAAAAAAAAAAAAAATTAATTTACCACGGTCTCCACGGTTTGTCCTCGACCGGCGGCACCACGCTCTTCCTCATCACCAGCGCGAGCGGTTTCTGGAGAGGAGGGCTGTAGACGCGTGGGTCAAACTCCGGATCGCTGGTGTAGCCGTTCGCCGGGGAGGTCGCAACATCCCTGTGACTGTTGGCTGGGCTGTAGGCGGTCGATTGCTCGCGGAACGAAGCCGGGGGTGCCTCGAACGCCACCGGGCTCCCCGCCGATGTGGACGTGGAGCTGGTGGACGAGGTCGATGACGATGCGGACGCCGTGCTGGCGGTTCTTTGAGGGATCGGAATCAGGGTTGGTAACGGTGAGCTTGGCGCCGGCGACGATGAGGGCGATGACGCGACCGGTGCCGCCTTCGCTCCCGCCGGAAGCACCAGTGCGATATCACCGTTCGGCAGTCTGGTCGGGACCAGCTGCAGGCCGGTGCCGTTGGCATTGGTGAAGAAAATGCCGTTGGATTGCTGGACCTGGATCCGCGGAGTCGCGTCAACCTGAGGCAGGATGTGTACTTGCAGCTGCGTCGTCGGAGGCGCCGGCTGAACAGGCTGTTGAGTCGTTGTCGTTGTTTGGCCGTTATTGTTGCTCGCTTCTACCGGACCCAGGCACGTTGCCAAGTGGGCCATCAGACGCCTCTTCACCGAAGTCTCCAGACCGGGAAACCTGCCAACTTCGCCGGCGCACTCCGTATAACCGGCACGGAATTTGTTGAGGATGTTCGGATCGGTCGCGGCGGCCAGGGCGACTTGCTGTCGTTGAAGGTTCTCCAAATGCTTCACGGTCAGTTCCAGAATGTCAGCCTTCTCGAGCTTGGAGTGTCGTGCCGGCTGTAACAAAAACAAAAAAAAAACGACGGTTAGACGACTCGATCGTTTGAATATTAATGGGATGATAATATATAAAATTAGAAGTAGAAAAAAAGAAACAGGAGATGAATATAAAGTAATTTATTAATCTTTAGAAATTTTTTGAAAGAATTTAAAAATAATTTTTTAAATCTTTTATGCTGTTAAGGCAAGCAAAGAAGAATGATGATGGGATACTTACGTCTTTCTTCATAGATTCCAATACGAGAGTCTTCAGATCGTTCAAACTATTATTAATACGGGCTCGACGTCGTTTTTCCATTATAGGTTTATTGCTCTGAAAACAGAAATAGGAAGAAATAATAAATACAAATGTCTTAGAGAGAAATCCTCGTCGATTAAGGGAAAAAGTAAGGCACGTGCCTTGCTTCTATTGAATTCAGAATAAGTGTCGTGCCGAAAGAAATTAAAGTAAAAAAAGAAACGCCTTGGATTCAATGACGTTTCTTCAGTGCAAAAAAATTTACAACTGAAAAATATAACAAAAGGCACTAATAGCTCAGTGAGAGAATTAACAAAAGTTACCATCTCATATCACATTTTTGTTTTTAATTTTCTTTTTTATTGTATCATGAAAATTAATATATTTATATAAATTATGATAAAGCAAAGATTGAAAATTATTGAAGTGTTCTGCTAGCCATTGTAGTGACTCTCAGTAGCGAGCAAAAAGAACAAATATCGTATATGTTATTTATTTAGTTTTGATTAAGAAGAATAAATCAGGAGCGCGAAAATAAATAATTCAACTCTATTTCTAACCGATCTAATTCCAATTTTATTTCACAACGAAATGTGCCAATTTATCAATTTCTTTCCAATACTTCACACTTGAGAGAAGAAAACATAATTTTGTCCAATTAAACACTCGGCACGGCGCCGACACCGCCCGTCGGCATCGTGGCATTAATTTTGTGATATACTAATGATTACAATTTCTTTTTTTCTATCACAAGAAATATGATTACTGCTTCGAGTCATTACTCTAAACGCAGAAAATCTAACACGTTGAAGGGAAAGTTGCAAAGCAAAGAATTTCTTCGAGATCGATAGAAGACACTAACCCGTCGATTTTCTCCAGATCTCCTCGTAGTCGTTGTAGTAGTTGGGGTGGTTTGCGCCGGAGCCTGACCAGCCTCTTGAGGCACGTGTTGCGCGGGCGGCGTGGCGCCGACGGTGACACCGCCCGTCGGCATCGTGGCACCCACTCCGGTTACCATTATTTGCTTTATTTTCCGTATCACAGAATCCGGAAGACCTTCAAATCGAATAATCCTCGTCGACGCGGAATCACTGTATACCCAAGTCAATCACTTCACTGATAATCCAACAGTCTGCTGCTACTTGACGTGTCCTCTTCGCCTTGCACGTTGCGCCGACGCACAGAGTAATTACTCGAACCACGGTACGAACGTGAGGTCGATGATTACATACGAAGGAAACGTGATGAAAAAAGTGTGCAGTCTCTTTGCTAAGTCTCGTAACAAATACCGCCGAAGTGCGACTGCTCACGACGAACGTCTGAGCTCGACTAGCTCGGCGAGCAAGCGTCTTCTGTCGTGCTGTCGGAGCGTGGCACCCGATGGAATGCTCGGTGGTGGAGCTGGCCCCTTCCGAAGAGGGGATATTCAGTGGCGAGCGAACAATAAGTGGGGAGACCCAGCGCGTGACGCTTTAACCTGGTGTATCCCTACCATCGAATTCCGACAGTCGGACGGTACCCGACGCTTTCGAGGTCCCCACCCTGAGCTTCGGTACTCTCTATGGCGCGCGCAAGCGACGGCTCAGACCCCCCTCGAGATCCCACCAGACTTCTTTCGAGCCGATCGATCGAACTTTGCCAGCGGGATTACCGTCGGTGATTTCCGGTGGAATTTTCGATTGCTCTTTTGCGACTCTGGCAATTTCGTGTGACGTTATAGTATAAATTGATCGTTCAGACCTTTTTGCTATTAAATATTAGCTAATTACTGCGATAGTAAGTAAATTATTATGATAACAATCTCCAATAAACGCGTTCCATTATTATAATACACATTTGTCAAATCTGTCAATCTTAAATCCGTCAGATGTGACATCTCAACCCTATGCATTCGTCCGCGATGATGATGCTGTTTGCAGTACGGAGTTTTCTTTTTGCGACTCTCAGAACGAGAAACGATAGTACGGAATATTTCCACGGATCGGCGATTAGTCTCGCGTCTGCAAAGGTCATTAGAACCGGCTGGCGCGTTCGCGCATGCTGATCGTGCTTGGTGATGGTAACTCCGACGCGACGCGCGTACGCGACCGGTCGCGCGAACGTCATCGAGCTTATATCACGTTCTTCGAAAATAGCCGAGTACCATCGTGCGCGGAGTACGGCGGGCTGACGCACGCGTATAGCTTCGGCACGTGCCTCGTACTCCCTCCCCCTGTATGTCTTTCGAAATTGCTCTTTCTACTTGGCTACCGATTAAACGCACGGCACCGTATTTATCTCGGCCCTCACCACACATACGTAAACGTGTACGCACAGCCTGAAATACGACCGCATCGATCTCGCGCCGGATTTTACTTTGTTGATTCTTGTTTGGACGGCGCGCGAATGGTTGCGTGCAAATATTGTGACGGACCAGAATATTGTGGCCGTTTAGCAGTCTTTTACATTGCCTTTGTGTAACTTCACGTTACAATTATAATTGGCTTTTTAGATTTCGCGGAAGGTTGTCAAAAATGCCTCACTGTGAGAGCGTTTTTTTTTTTTATCAAAGAGACCAACGTGATAAGAGCCGTAGGATGTCTTTATTTCTGTAGCGATTGTAACGCAGGAAATAATTTACTGCAGACAATAGATGCTGTTGCGTGAGTAACGCTATGTATTTGCCTCGCGATTATATGATGGATGATTAAATTAGATATAACTAGTCTTTGTGCAAACATAGTAATGTGCACTGCGATGTCTGTCTGATAAGCGTTGCTCGTAGATATATGACATGACAAATATGTTACATTGAGCATCACACTGCAAATATCATTGTCTTTTCTTATTTTCAACAATTTCTCATTTCCGCTCAGGATAAAATTTATTTATGCTAATCTTTACAATCCATTCATTAACTTTGCTAATCATTTTTTACGCGCTGTCGCGCGCGATAAGAACACAAATTTAACATTCTTCTAAAATATCTCAAAGATTTATTTGATAAGACTTGCGGTACAACTGAAAAGTATGTGTATCTAAAGTACAGTGGCAAGATAACGGTTGCTCTATAACACCTGCGTGATCAGATGTTGCGATTCACGTTTCAACATCCCACTAGACATCGGAAAAATAGTGGAAAGAGAAACGCAAATCTGATAATACTTAGAGTGCGATAAGTACGACGAGGCTTTCCTCCTCGGAGAATCGAGTGGGATCGAGGCTCGTGTCGTCGCGCGCGGGAGAGCAGGCCGGCGGCACCACACGAGGCAACCGACAAAGAAACGGAGAGAGAGAGAGACCATCGGCTTGGTATGAACGACAGAAACAGAGACAGAGAAAGTGAAGGAGAACGGACGAAGGCAGCAGAAAGAGAGACAGCGCTCGACTTCACCTACCTACCTACCTGCCTACGCGGAGAAGGATGAAGGTGAGGCACGCTGCGAATCACACGACTGGGATTCGATGCGGCGTACGACAAAACTGCACGGATTGGACCAGTCTGAACCCCACCAGAAGGTTTCCCCGAGGATGAGCGTGCCGCGCGCGTCTCTCGTGTAAATGGTGGGGGTGTGATCGTCATTCGACTTCGAGCGCTCGAACTCGAAGTATGGGCGCGTGGGTTGCCAGCTAAGAGCGTGTTCCAAAGGGATACGCGTGGGGGTGGCGATGACGATTATATGAGGAAGAGGATGAGCTGTGAGAGACCGAGGAATTTATGTGCACTACCGCTGTGCAACTGACATGACGCATCTTTCTCAGAAATACTTATGTAATTATTCTATTTTTTAATTTCAATAATTGTTCTTAATGGTGATTATTTTAATTAATTAATGCAATATAAAATAGTACGTTTTTAAATGTGTTATCTAAAAGGGATGAGACTGGCGAATTTCATATTGACAGGTTGGATACGTATTGATAAATATGAATTGGAGTTGCATATTGACAAATTTCAATTCGATAATTTTGATCAAACTATTAATTTTCTTTTTATAGAAGCTCTAATTAGAATTGCATATTTTAAGATCACAAGTAAGATCACGGGTAATTGAGTGTCGATTATTTTTGTGACTTAATTATGACACACACACACACACACACACATGACAAGTGCAAGAATGTCGATCTATTAATGTGAAGACATAAATGCGACATTGAAATATATAATTGGATAATATACTCTTTGATTTTTCTAAATTTAGCGCAAATTGAAAGCAACAAGATCGCCAATATTGTGCCTCCATCTACTGGTAGATGCTACAGGTTTTTTTCTGGACCAGCACGATGATCACAAGTTGAGCTGAGTAATAACGAACAGAAACAATTGCTAATCAAAAAGTACGAATTATAATGTAGAAAAAGTTTTAATTATATATACAATTTCTGTATTAAAATTACTAATATTTACTGATCGATTATTTTGAAATCTGAAACTCTTAAATATCTAGCCAAAATTTTTACATTTTGTTCGTCAGTTGAAGTAATTATTTTTTTTATAATCTTACGTCGAGACGACAAACATATATACATACATTTTCAAAATGGCTGCTCATCTTTTTATGACATTCGCACTCACTTACATAAGACTAGATATCGACAAGCTCTAATAAGCAACGTGCTACTTCATACCTGAACGATAAATAATGGTCGTCCAAGTGTCAGTAGACGAATAGCGGAACTTTAGTCAAGAATTTTGTCTTTTTTTTTTTATCGCATGTCGCAACCTTTGATAAGATTTATCTAAGATACATACAATAATTTTTCCGTTGGTTTATTTTATCATAATTTTTTATCATAATTGTGCTCGAATGTAGCGCGGGATTGCTATTTTATTTATGTAACATCTATTTTCAACCAATATATTACATATTAATGTAAAGTTATGTCACACTTATATAATTTATTTTCGTTATAAACAATATGATTCACACTTTTTAGACATTGAAAAAAAATTCGACAAACATTATACGAGCATTTTGCAATACAAACAGTGAAAAGAGCGAAGAGTAAAGATTAGCATATGTGATGAACGTTGCGCGCGAGTATCCCGGTAGTTACGGCGGCACCTGTTCGCCGAGACCTACGGCCCTCGTGAACCCGGCGTGACTCATTAGCTTTATGGGGTGCCGGGGCATTACGTGGGCCCATGAACCGGTGGTGGCTGCATAAAAGCACTCGCGAGGCGGCATCGGCTTTGCTCGCGGCAAACGAACATTAATATTCGCTCCCCTTCCGTCGAGATATCAGATTAGGGGTCCGTGGGTCCCTCTCGCTCACCCGTACTTTATTACATACACCGTCCAGGGGAAATAAAAAAAACCGGGCAACGAGCAAAAGTACCCCGTTTGTGGTACCCGAGTATACGGTCCCAAGCGTACCGAGTGCTGCAATAATCTGATTTCGCCAGCGCGGCTGTACCCTCGCATTACTCATTCTGTTTTTCTCTCTGCCTTCCATGCATTTTTCGTCGCGCGCACGACAAAACTGCAATTGCCCGCACTTTGGCGGGAATCTCTGTGGGTCGAGAAAGTCGAGCGTATACCTGCCTGCTTGCGGTTCTTCGGCAGAATATCGCCAGCTACGGCCTAAAATCAACAGACGGCGGACGCTTCCATTTGTTCGAATCAATACTACACTTTGTGAAACCGAATTCTTACGGATTGCTTCTGTAATCATTCTTACATAATCATATTACGTAATCATTTTTTCTGCAATCATATTAACAACAGATATCAGAGAATGCTGAAATAAAATATCAAATTTTTTTAAACTGTGCATTTATCTTTCTATTTTGAACACTTCGAAGTATAATTATTACTTTTTTAGATTTTATATTATTTTAGACATACATTTGTTTTTTAATGTGGACCAGTTGGAAGAACATTTGTCAAGCGTAATATCGTTACGTTTTAACCATGCGGATTTTAGCCGCAAAGAAATGACGGATGAATGCATGCATAGTCACGCGTTGCGGCAATTTACGATGACTGCACGGTCGGAATATGTTTCTAAGCATGCAAAGAATTGAGAAACTCCACGCGATATGCGCGCCAGACAGAACTCTGGTAATTAGGCTACGAGTCTCCCTCATTTCTGCTATTATTCGCTGCTCGCCAGCTCGAGGCGTTGACGTTCATTGAATTTAAGAATGCAGCGGTGATTTTCGAAAAGCAACCGAACAAGTCGTAATTGGCTGTGCAGGGAAACGATTCTACATAGGAAATCGAAGGCCATTTCCGAGTCATTGCTTTTGGCATTATTTGCTTAACCGATAATAGCCGGCAAATTGTTGGGCTGTCAGTCAGCGAATACGCGTACATATTATAAGAGGCATACAATACATGCGAGTTATAACTTGCTCGAGGCTACCAATTGAGAGCTTCGGCCTGAATACGTCGATAAAATCGGATATAGTTTGTGCTCTCGAAATTTTCGAATTTCGTGTTTAGAGTTGCGCTTTTGATGTCTGGAATATCCTGTGAAATCTGGCACATAAGTATTTATAGTCACGATGAGATGTCGATGCACGCGAAACTGGTCTCTAAATGTATAGTTCGGCGTTCTTTGAGCAAACTTGAAATTGGACCGCTTTGTATTACATCGCATTATATACAGCAGCCAGCTATAATTTTTCAGATTCAAAACTCGTCTCCGATCTGGCTCCCAAATATATAAATTTTTCGCACAGATTCGTAATTTTTATACAATTGTTGTTTGCCTGTTAATCATAATACAAAAAAGAAGGCGCATAGTCAGTAAATGACGTATTTTTTCGCGTCGATAGTGAAACTAAATCCAAAAAAAGCGTAAACACTGTATTGGCAAGCGTTTTTGCGCAATGCAAAAAAATTTCAAAGAGCTAATAACATCTATTGAAGACCTTCAAGAAACTGCTTTCGGTACGGCTCGTGATAAAAAACATACCGAGACGTTTGAAAAGGCATATTTTTTAGTGACGCCAGTGCGATATCTCGAAAAAAATCAACGGTTCTAGCATAATTTGCCAAGGTACGCAAAAGGGCTTATGTAACCGGATACACTGGCAATTTCGAGTTGAAATTTTTTGTCGCAAAAAAATTCCTCGGAATTTTCTATAATTTTTGAGCATGTATCTGAATTGTCGACACCTAAATTATCAATGTAAAGTTAACGTAAAGTAAAGACAGATATCTTGGTAAATATATAAGAAGAGATAATGCAGAGCTGTGCAAACGAGAAAATTCGCAAATACCCGTCGTTGATGGATTGAGGTATTTTGATTTTCTATCTTTCTTTTGTATCTGGGGTTGTATATTCTTTAAAATAAGTTTGACCAAGAAAGTTTTTTTAGGTCTGTGAGATAGGATCGAAGATAGCATTCTTCCATATTTTACTTGCAAATTTATTTCTATAGTAAACACACACACATTACATTATGTATATATATTTGTGGAAGAATTCTTTTTACATATTGTAAACATTGCTCCGTAATGTGAGCATCTTGATATTATTAGTGAGGAGACTTGGTAATTGTCAAAATTTCTCTATTGACTCGCAGAGAGAAAAACGACAGACTCAGTGGAAATAACTGTTTCTTTCAAATAATATGAATGGACTGTTAATATAGCAATATAGTCAAAACATATACGAAAATAAATACTTTACAGCCGCGATATATTTTTGCACGACATTAAAAGTTAAAAAAAATATCTGTTCTTTTAAAGGGTTGCAGGCGACGATACGAAGTAAATAAAGTCATAAAAAAAAAAAATTGTAAGAAAAAGGGCAATTTAATTTTATAGAAGGGTAAACGGGAAAATTTTCAGAAAAACTCGCACTGTGAAGAAATCATAAACTTTCTTGTTAAGGTCGCGGTCTATCCTGTTAGCTAATGTCCAGTCGGAATCTTTTTATCACTTTCGTCGCCATAAAATTCTGAAAGATTGTCATCGGCATCGAATATTTTATATTTTTATGATGTGAAATCAGACTCAATGTCGAAGGATTGTAAGTTTTAGCTCAACGAAAATTAACTTTAAATCTTTGCGGCTAGAGTCGCGTGTATATGATAAACTTTTTTATTAGTTAGTGATCATTCGGCTTGACCTTCTCGAATGTAAATCTTTAACTTTTTTTTTAACTCTTTTGAGATAATTTTGAAAAAATTTAACGCATCCAAACGCAATAAAAAATAAAGGTTTTAGCTACCTAAGAGAATAAAAAAAGGGAAAGTAGTTTTTACCTGTGAAGTCTTCTGTGAAACGTTGAGAATAATATACATCATCGGCCAAAATATCAGTGTAATACTTCATTGCAAAAATTTTTGAAAATTGTTTGACATTTAATGATTTTATTGGGTGTGACAAGTATGGTCTGGAATTTTATCGATCGTGTAATCAGACACTTTCGATCACATTCGGTAAAAGTTTGCGTAAATAAATCGCATCATCGATAATTCAAATCGATTTTTGATTGTAATGCGAGTAACGATGTTGTTGATATCATATTACAATATTGTAAATTTATGTGCAAACCCACATTTTACTTTAAGACTTTACATAATCAATTAAGTAATTAAAACTACATAATCAATTAAAACTACATAATCAATTAAAACTTTACATAATCAAATCATACAATTATATAATTTTTTATATCTTCACAGGAATGTAATTTATTAAATACAATCTTACAAACATTTTAACTTTTTCATATATTTTTTAAAAATTTATTTTAATTTATGGGATTATAATTGAGTACAGAGTAGATAAATTAAATTAAATCAATTTAAGAAAATTCAGACACAATAAAAATTACTTATCATAAATTATTTATATATATGATTTTTTAAAGTACAATAATCTTATTTTAATTGTGACTATTATCAATTATGTAAACAAATGTAGACACGAGAAATGACAACAATGATATGACAATCAATTTATTTTGGGCATATTCATCTGTGAGGAAAAAACAATTGCACGGAACTTGTTTCGATATATTCGTGCACTTATCCCATCAGTGATTGAGCAAAAAATCACACCTCTCACCTGCACGATCTCACCGCAAGAACGAAATCCTTGGTAGATTCTATCGCGTTTTTCGTGATATGTTTCGCGGCCGAGTCAATTCAAAATCGGCTCTCCCATTGAAGATCGACCGCAAAATGGGGCACATCTGGCTAGGCGGTTGGCTGTGGGGAAAAGGAGGAGGAATCGCGGCCTCGAGTACTCAGTATTTGCCGCAGGAGTATCACGTTGCCTCACGTCTGGACGAGTTTACTCACGAATAGCCCGCTCCGGTTCGTCCGAGTGGATTTCTAGAGTCTTGCGGCGCGCCCTGCTCAATTTGCACTTCATTTGCTTCAGATCGAGTTGCCTTCTTTTTTGGCACGCGCAGCCATACGTACACATACGCAACATGTAAGAGTCCGACGAATCGCGCGGCGCCTCTTGAAGGATCCTGTTCGAGCGAACCGTCGCGCGGATAACCCGCTCCGACGGATGCGCCGAGCAAGCGAGCAAGCGACTGTGTCGCTGCATCTATTCATATGTCATCGATCTTAAAAAAAATTGATGCGTGCTGGCACGCCGTCAAAGATGGCGATGTGATTGTGAAATGTAGGTCCACTGCAACTTTGAGGTATCGTATGAAGCGTGGTAGATTAAAGTTACTGCGCCTTCGTAGGTAGGTCAGCCAAGCTTCATGAGAGGCTTCGCATTATTTAGTTTCACGAAGCACAATCTTGTAAGATGAATGATAAGTATCTCTGCATATTTTATGAAAACTTGTGAGAAACGTTGAAACGATCGCTTTCAATTTTTTCTCTGCGGAAAGATATGATTCGCGCAATAATTTAAAATTTAATATAATAAATTTGATTGAAATTAATTTGATAGTATAATTACGCGAAATTATTGCGATCCGATTAAAACTGAATTAATAATATAAAATAAAATAAAATATAATAAAAATCGTGTCGTTAATTTTCAAGGACTTATCGCTGCGGAAAAGCTTCGTGGTAGATTTGTGAGCTGTTATCATCGCATTTTCATTTCTATCGAAACGAAAGGACGGAAATAGATTACAGAAGGAATAGATATAGCAGGATACACCCAATTTATCAAACAGCCTCGCTGACATGATACAGATTAGGACTTCATCCTATGACATACGCGATATCCTTAAGCTATCTGCTTTTTAATATCTAATCATGCTTAACATTATTCGTGGAAACGCGCGCTGGATGCCGTGTAAACGCATTGTTATAGGATTTTTATGCAAATGATAAAGAATCAATGTTGTTGCGCATTCTCTTTTTTTTAAATTCAAATTGCTACTTAAAAACACTTCCTAAAATTGAAACTTGCAGGCTTTCAGAGTACGCAATTCCATCTTCTCTCTCATTAATTCCTTATAATTAATATCTTGATTGAATGTTTGAGAGCTTTTATAATTTAATTTATCGATTGAAATTATTTCAGTGCAGGCAATATCTATGCAGCACACTTGGCGATCTGGCATCGTGATAAATGATCCCCGAAAAGTATCCGAAATTCCTTCTGAGCGCGAGAATATTTTTTTCTCGACACTTCGCTCCTTCGAGCCTACCTCTCCTCTTCCGCCCCTTCGTTTTAATCGCTTTCTCGATCACGAACGTCTCTAATGAAACTGACATTCCGAAACAAGAACCCCCGAAGGCCTGGGACGTGAAATAGGATTTCGTCTTCGGGGCTGGATTAATGCACGCGGCCGTTTAATCCGACAATATTAATGACCGCCGATTCTGCGTCTCGCGTTCGTTCACGATTCAAGGATTCTACGGTCTTTAGAAACGTACGAACGACCGATGGAAAGAGAAGAGGAGAGGGCCGCGGAATATACATCCAGCCGCCGCGTAAGCCTATTCAGAGTCTGGCTTACGCGGCCGGCCGACTACCGGAGTTCCACCGTCTGAAATTAATCGAGGTCTTATCATAATAATTTTATTCAGCTGTTCTGAAAGAGCGTCGTCTACTCGGGTCGAAAACAGGCAGAAAGGAGAGACACGTTCGCTTCACGAAGAACGTACCGTCATTCTTTCGCGGCTGAAGTATTTTCTTCGGTGTGGTCCGCGCAACTTGTAAAAATCATTAGAATACTTTGATATATTTGTTCCTAGACGTTTTCTGATCAAGAGACGTTGTGGTGAATATAAGGATTTCTCGAATTGCGGTTTTTGTGTCGTAACGGCTGTATTTATTTTCTGAGAGATCTGAGATCTTTCTCTTTTTGCAATATTTAATATATTAGTAATTTCTATATTTTTATCGTCAATATTTTTTACATTCTTGCATATATTAGCAGTTTTCGGACACTTTCAGATATGCTGTGAAATACGTTATCGAAAATTATTTGAAATATACCAAGAAATAAGTTGATAAGTTGTGTACCGTTATACGTCATTCGCAAAATATCTTAAAAATTTTGAAATCTTAGAAATCTTCGAATTTACGTCATATCTCACGTTGCAGGATTTTACCTTCAACTCTTTTGAATGGAAATAGCTGTCGATGTCGTACATTTTGCAACTTACTGTCGTTTCTTCCTCTCTTCCCCTCTCTCTCTCTCTCTTCATTTCTCAGTACTGACGGTTAGCATAATCGATCAATTCCCATACGACGCCTCGATGCTGACTACAAAGTCAGGCACACCTGTAACCAATGGAAAACACGCTGTTACTCTCGCGCTCGCAGCCGGTTTGCTTCCATCACGAGATAAAATTCCCATGTTCCGGCAGACCGCGAGTCGGCGCAATAAAATTTACATAACTCTTCGTCGATTAGATACAAATGTTCCACCTTGTGCAGAAAATCGCCGTGCTCTTTTGTGAGGGGCATTAGGCCGCGGACTGCATTTGGAAGCACCGCGGAGAAGCGGCGATACAATAGCGATAAAACGTTCCCGCGGTAAATTATATGTATGTAAAATGCGAAACGGAGATACTGGACATTACAGCGCCCTGCTGATCGTCGGCCTATAAATATGGATGTCTATACACTGGCAGAGAAACGATGAAGCATTGCACAGATACTACACGTTCAAATGTATTGAAATATATTTCATTCGCGTGACAAAATTTCTATGAAACTACAATTAATGACGGTCGAGAATTAAATTCTACACACGATCGACTATGCTACATTTTTTCATATACGCAATACCGCGCGACGGTTGGTGCATCGGCATTGCCGAAAAAAAGCTTCTCAAGTCGTGAATTCAATTACGCCGGCGGTCTGAGGGTTCTTTTCGTGATCGTCAATTACATCCGTCACGTGACGACAACGCGCTTTTTTTTCGACCGCCTTCCCCGCTCGCCCTTTCTTACGAGAGCCTTTTTCACATAATTCCAATTATCCACGCCGCCCCGCTTGCGCTCGTTCGCGCTCGTCGTTCCGACAGCGCAGCGCGCATTAATTAGCGGAAGCCTCGGCTACTCGCAAAAAACTTTTCGTAAGAAATTCCCCCGTCACTTTGTCGAGCCCCCCGAGACAACGCACGAGGATGCTTTTCATTTTTTTTCTGTTTATTCTCTCCCCTCTCTCACTCTTTCTATCGTTCTCACCCCGCTGTCACCGGCGAACAGGTTCCCTTCGAAGTGGAGTGAGGAGGGATTAAAGAAAGGACGGTGTCGTCATGACGGCTCATTCCTTCGTTTGTTCCTCTTCTCGTGGTTTCGGTTCGTTAATTTCCTGATATGCTCGCGCTAATTGTGGGTAGCGAGTTGTCTAATAGAAATAATATGATAATTTGGCGGCGAGGGTTGCCCGTGCACACTCACGGTCTCGTAGAAGCTTATGGGAAAAAAGGTCCAGAGTGGAAAAGTTCCCGCGGAAGGGGTTGTTTGTTCCGAAGAGTAAATATTGGCATGAAGGGTGTCGCTTGGGATGCTAATTGATCGGAAGAGAATTCGAAAGCACGTTGGCGACGGCACGGAACGGAATAAGGGTCGTTACGCACCTTCGTAATCCGACTTGTTCTTGAATCTTGAATTCGAAAAAAAAAGTATTCGATCATAAGAAAATGCACGAGTGACGGTTAAATCGATTATCATATTAATGAATTTGGTTTTGAATTTGGTTTTGAACAGCTTATTAAAATAAAAAGAAAATCGAATTATATGTTGGGATCGATAGCATGCAGCTGCATGTTGTACATACATCAACGTAATTTTGTTACCCAGATAAAATTGATAGTAATTTCTCGTAGCGTCGAAATTGTATGCTGATTAACGCACATTCCCAGTTTTGATTGTGCTTACGCCCAATCGGCGAATGGGCATCAATATAAAATAACCAGCTACCGTGCGCCTGTCTGTTAGAAACTGAAACCTCCATTATCGACGGCACAAAGATTGCGCGGCAGAGTCTCAATCGGTCTAAATTAGAATCTATTCGACCTAATTGGATATTATGCCCCGTGTATTGAATTATGTGGACGATTCGGTGTCTGTCCGATTTCTGTTCGCATCTCTTTCCTTCTCTCTTTTCGAAGAGATCACATCGCAGACTGTCGACGTTTTATTTTGTTAGCTATATGACATGAAAGAAGCTTTATTTTATTTTATTTAGTTTAACAAATAAAATTATGTCATTAATGATATCTCGCGCTATAAATTATAGTGCGTGAAATATTTTAATATTTATCGACATCATGGAAAAATTAACATTGTGTTTCATGTTACTTTAGCTAATGTTATGCATAATATTTTCATATACGCGCACCTGTAAATAGTTAATGTATTGCTCCAGGACGCCTATGTAACCATTATAAGCGTATCGGGTGAAGAATCCCCCCATGTTGCTCGGTTTAATGAACGCTGGCACACAGGAGCTGCGAAAAGTTGATATCTCCGGCACCTGTTCCCTTCGGCGCATATTTCTACCGCGCGACTATAAGTCTGCGCGCGCCCGCCCGTACAGCGCGAATTATCTGACGACCGTTGTGAATGAGTATCAGAAAATTTCCCTTAATTTATTTCAGCCCGTTTTATTTTAATATAATATAACATAATATTTTATTTATGCCATCACATTGTATTTTGAAAGTCTTAATTGATGTATTTCTATCTCGTATTTGCTACACTCGGTACCTTATCATTTTTTATAACGAAAATCGGCAAACGCACGGTGAGAAAACATACTTTTTTATGAGCGGTTTTAGCGCTCTTAATAATTAGTTTTTTAATTAGGAGATACTGCATAAGTTGTTTTACTTTTTATCTTAATAATATCTGTCATTGGTAGCAGTGGCAATTAAGAAATTAATTTTTCAGATTACCTGTTCGGTTTGATGCGGCTCTCACCAAGTGGCAGCTTGGCATAACGAAACGATTAAGCAGATTGGGGAAGCATTCGCTGGTCATACATTGAGTGTATACGTGGTGAAACTGAAATTTGCATCCTAAAAACAGGTAATTTTCCAACTTAAGTGTTTTTAACGATCAATGTGTGCTTCGTTTAATTTCGAAACGCTTCGTTATTGTCGAGCAAAGCGAGTTGCGCGCGAAAAGCGGCATACAGCGTGTTTTAAGGGCTCTACTGGGTGGTCGGCTTTCTCTTTCTCTCTTTTCTCTCTGTCTCTTTCAGTCAAGACCGCAAATTATGTTAATGCGGGGAATTATAGAGTGTATAATTGATATTTATAAGCACCGATAATCATTGACATAAAACTGCTCGCGCTTTCGATATTGCTAAAACTTCTTATTATCGGAAGCTAAAATTATAAAAAAATTTCTACGTTAGTTTTTTGTAAATTTTCTGCCTCGAGTAATGGATTATTCGGCAAAAGAAACAATAACTTTGCCCGTAAACTTCTCTAAAAAAATATCGAGTGTTCGGCTCGATGACGAATACCATCGCTTACTCGTCGCGATCCTTTGACACATATTCGTCAGTGGGCGAAGAAGGCGGCTGTATATTTTTATCTCACGGTGCCGTCGAGAAGATGCCCACACGAGATATGGGTACACGCGCGTCCACGCGCGAAGGTTCACTCATGCTCCGGCGTCCCCCTCGACCCCGACGGAATCATCTGCGCGCGAGCCGCGACGGGTAGGGCACGGCATTCGACGGGAGGGTTAGTAAGGTCATCGAGTGTGGGAACCGAGCGGCGGCGATGACGAGGATGACGCCACCACTTGACGTCACCCGGAGCCGCGAGAAAGAGGACTGACTGGGCCCGAAGAAGCGCTCGTAGATCGTAGACGTTAGCGCATGAGTCACTGTGTTCCGGTACACGGCATCGACTCGCGAGCGGGCGCCCCTCTAATTAGAACAGGCTGAAAATAAACTCGGGTCGTTTGCTTTTAATTGCCCTCCTAGACGGTCCTCGGACGAACGCCCCTCAAGAGTCTCTCCTTTGTGCATTCGCGCTTGATAAAAGTTGGACTCCTCGGAATTACATCTTCGAGTTCCGCCGTAACCGCTTAATTAGTCCACGCGGCATAAATCTTTCATGGTACCCACATTTTTAAGCTCTAGGTTATTATAACACGGGGCATAAAATAAAATGCTTCCGCGGATGGTAATGGAGCGGTTATGTGGAATGTAGCCGCTTCGGTATCTTGCGGTTTCAGCTCGGCCCAACGTGAAGCACATATGTGAGTTCCTCTCGATCTTTGAAGATCAAGAGAATCGGAATGGCTAAGAAGAATGCGTGTAATAGCGATTGACGCGCGTAACATCGCAGGGCGCGCGCGAGCGTCGTGAATGCAGCCGGTACTAATTTAATATTCTCCTTGCCGGAACACGACAGCCGTGACAACGCGGCTTGCGTCGAGTCACGACGCAGAAACAATTCGCCTCGTGGTGCAGGATAATCCGGCACGCGGCATCGTGCGATTGTCACGAAGATATCCGACACTTTTGCACTGCCATCTCGCCGTGTCATCCTTCTTTCTTTTGTAAGCGACGAGCTTGCGCGGACTAAGAATAAACTCGTGTGAGCATAAAGGATTAAGCAAAGATGCGAGCAACAAGAAAAGAAATTAGAAGAAATAAGTTGTGGAAGTTAGAATGGTAAAAATACGTAGCTGTTATTCGAGTCTATTAATTTGATTTTAACTTTATTTAGTCTCAAATTTTAAGCAACATTTTCAATATATTATAGTTATTGTTAACGAATATCAAATAAACAGGAAGAGTGGAACTTGACTAAGGCGCATAGAATTTTTCACAATGAAACGCAAAGGAAGAAGAGAGTCGCCCATACACTGTCGCGAGCCTATATTAACTTTAACGAGTAACGGCCCACGCGACGATTCGACGGGTCGAAGGTCAAGCAGACGTGAGAATCTTCGTAAGACTCTTCGAATTCTTCATTTCTCTGACCTTTGAGATAAAAGTGGGGATTTGCCTGACAGGTTGACTAATGCTGATAACGTTCTCTTTCCTGTGTATGTAGTTAGTATCTATTCAATTAATTTGTGACAATAGCATACATGACATGCTAATGCGAAAGAATCAGAAAGCTCAATGGAACGATGTAGACATTTGTTTTCCCGAAAGAGGTTAAATTGTTCCTCCAAAAATATCCTATGTTAGTAAATGAAACATGGATAAATTAGGATTACAAAATAGGTTTGTGTATTATAACTAGCTGAAATTAGCAACGATCGATCAACTTTCCAAATAATAAAAATGAGACGAGACAA